CAGAGCCCTTGACGCACTACGTGATGATGAAGAAACTGTGAGAAATCAGCAGTCTTAACCAAGCGTGCACCTAACTATACGTGGACAGTTGCTCCAAAACACTATGGAACAGAGAACAGAGATTTCAGCTAAAACGTAATATGCATATTCCTGAAAAATCTGATATTCTGCAACAGTATAGCTAAATATAAGACTTCTGGGGAAAAGAGAATTATGGTTATTACTTAAAACCTATAACCTCTGTAAGCAAAGCATTAAGGAAAACAGTATCAATTCTACTAGAGGGAATAATATTGTCAAAGCTCACTTGCACTCAGCCCACAGTTAATTCTTTGGTAGCCAGAAACCCTGCAGTTCGTGCTTCCTTCATAAACCCTGGAGGTCACCTGCCTCCAGCAGAAAACAGTATGCTTCATCCAAATAAAAATCAGATTCAGGGTATCAACATCTTTATCAAGCTTTAAAAGTAAAAAGTACAGGGGCAAATCTCTTTGCAGCTTCTTTTCAGTATTCAGATCTTCATTAGTTAGCTTAACACTAAAAAAGCAGAGCAGTTTTTGAATCAATGAGGCCAGATACTGCACTAAATGAAACCTAAATGCAGAATTTTCAAATCATCTTATGGTCTTTATCTATCTCGAAGGCTGTTCCTTAATAACAAGACAGCTTGATCCCGAGAGCCCTGAAACACTAACGCGCAGGGAAAGAGCATCCGTGAACCACCTGGATGTCTAGACCACACGCCTGCGAGCTGGTTTGTGATACAGAACTCGCGCCACAGCAAAACAGACTGTATTTCGATCAGCAGATTCTGACGATGCTCCTCTGGCGATCTGCTGCCTGCCCTAGGAACTACTATGACAAATCAGTATTTTCCACGGACTTCCTCTCTAGTTAAACATTTGACAGAAACAGGCAGGCACCAGGCAGGTGAACAAACGAGTGATGCCCGCCATCACGGAGCTGGGACCCTGGCACAAGACACTGTGACAGCTGTTCTGGGAAAGGCTGGGCCCCTACTTCATGTCACCACGAAAGCCAAGTAACAGCACACACTTACATATTTATTAGCAAATCACAAGAAGCCTCAAACAAACAAAAAAAAGACTTTCACATTATCTTGAGTTCAGGAAAGCCAGCAGCAAAAGATATTTTTTTTAAATTGTGAATCGAAGTAAAAAGTACAATTTTCTCTTTAACAAGATAGTAACAAAATTTTAAAGGCAAATGGGAAAAATCATTTGCAAAATGTTAACTCTAACAACTCAATATAAAATAAAAAAAATACCAACAGAAACATGGGCAACAGTTTTGAAAAAGCAACTCACAGAAGAGGAAAGATAAACAAATGAAAAAATGGTAAATTCTACTAACAAGGGAATATAAGCAATTTAAAATCTTATCAAATTAACGACTTTTTAAAAATCAGTAAATATGTGATATCTGAGGGCACAAGAGAGCTGGCCCCTTACTCCTGCTGTGGGCACAAGGGCTGGTCTTCCTCTTTGCAGGGCAATCTGGGTACACCTGTGAACACCTCAAAAATAGGCCAACTCTGGTCTGTAATCAATTATGCTAACAGGAATTCACCTTAAGGAAATAAATAAGAATCTATACCCAAAAAATTCAACTTAAAGAAAATACATCATTGTTCCAGTGAACAGGTAAACTGTATGTGTGACAATTAAATAAATTACTTTATATCCATATATGGAATGTAACTAAAAATATAATTGTAAACTTCTTGACACAAAAAGCAACAATATATTTAAGCAAAAATAAAGTTACACATAACGCAGAGTGAGCACATTAAAATATGCACCCAAATAAAGAAAAATAAGTATCAAAAAGTTAACAACGATTTCTAACTGGTGAGGCTGTTAATTTTTTTCCTTCAAGCTTATCTAATTTAATTCTTCCATAAATTATATACCTAGACTTAAAAACATTTTTTTAAAAAAAGAAACAAAGTAACAAATGCTAATTCTTTCAAAATCCCTACTTCTAAAAAAAAAAAAGTCATGATTTACAACTTAGGCAGGGCAACAAAAGCAGGACTAGGAGTCAAAGGTCATTCCAACTCAGGAGGTACTATTCAGGTCACTTAATTTTTCTTAACATCTGTCTTCTCTACTATAAAAGGGAAATCAGTTGTACTCTGATGCAACATGTCATATTTTAATGAGTGAAGTTTTAAGATCTCTTCCTGCCAAAAATCTGTAGCTCTAAGTTACATTTCTGGTAATTTAGTCAGCCTTGGAAGAAGACCTTTATTCAGTGTATTTCTTTCTCGAATGTTGCAAACATTTCTTATAAACTCATCAACGATAACGCAGGTATTTCACCTGGTGAAGCAGGTCTCAAAATCCCCAGAAGTTTAGCCCATTTCTGGTTTATCACGAAGAGCTTTCCCCACCCAACTTATTATTTTTTAATTTCCAAATTTACATAAAAAGCTGAAAGAATAGGAAAATGGATATTCATCCTTCATCTAGAATCTCTAGTTGTTAACATATTGCTATATATGCTTTTGTGTATATACATACATATACACACACACACACTCCTACTTTTTTTTTCCCAGTTCATCTATTTGAAAATAAATTGCAAACATATTTCCTATCTTTTAAACCACTGCATAGAAACTCAAGGAAAATGTGTGGGTACTTATTTATCTGGTATCAGGCTGGAAAGGGCCACTGGCCATAAAAGTAAATAAACTTTATGGGAAACAGATTTGATAACAAAAAGGTAGGGATAAAGGATTAACACATGATAGTAAAAGCGTTAACACTTTACTGTTCAAAGTGTTTTAAAGAATTAGTTTATTCTTTCTAAAACAAATATTTATTCAGTAACTACTAAGTGCCAGGTATTTCCTAATCTGCAGATTTTAATGAGAAGCAAACCAGACAGTTAAATGATAAATTTGTCAACCAAGTAAGAGCACAGTACACAAACACGCATTTTACAAAAGAAAGGCAGATAACAGTAAACACAAGGATACGAGCTTTGATCTTACTAGAACCTTCTCATAAATTCACAATACACATTGTCTGAAATGTCCCGAAACATAGCTACACATTAAAAGCAGTTACCTCCAAGACAGAGAACTACAGATAACTTTTTTCCTCTGTATCTACAAGAATGTATTTTTCCCATAAATTAGAAAGTTTTTCTCTTCATAAAAATTATAAGCACAGTTACACCTCACCTAAAACGTGTCTTCTCCCAAGTAACAAGCTAATAATTTCCAACCGAATTTAAGAGGATTCTTCAAAATTTAATTTAGATTTACTCAACTGTGGCAGTCTTGAGTACCTCTGACCACATCGTAGAGCCCAGCAAGCCGGTGCAACGTGCTTGAAGAGTCATCAGCAGCAACTTTTCTTCAGTCCTCAGACTGTTTCCATTTACCAAAAAGGCAAAAGTGCTGACTTTAAAAGTCTAAAGTACCAAGTCTGTGGTTTGTAGTTTTGTTTAACAAAATTTTTACCTTCCCGTAGCACTAACCTTTAGAGTCTGGCATAAGCGGACTTTCTCTTAGGCGCTCTGCCTGAATATGGCTAAACAAACATCTCAGACCGACAACCCCACAGGGTAAGAGAACAAATATTTACCTTCTTAGCATCTGCAGAAGACCTCAACCCTTCTGGCAGCGCGTGCACTAAGGGCAAGACCGCAGCACTGACACGCTGGAAATGGGCATCAGAGACCTGCTCCAGACGTGGCCGCTTGGATTCCAGCGAATCATGGTCCACTGGGGACGGGCCCGGGTGAAACTGTTCATATCCAGTCCTCCTTTCCTGAGGCCTAACACGTGAAAGAAGACAGTCGCTTGAAAACTGTAAGTGATGAACAACTTCCTGCTAATGTTAATATCCCTACTTGAACTGTGAAGTAAATGAAAAGTCACACTTACTTTCAAAGTGGATTCCCCCACCCAGGAGAACACGTACTCACTAGAAAGTACTATCAAACTTCTAATTCTAATAGAAAAAGTTTCTTCTGGGGAGGGGGGAGCGGTCGGCGGCAAAGCAGTGAAAGATGTTAACAGAAGATTTCAATCTGCAGAAAATTTAAAGCTGCTGAAGAATATCCATAAAATAATATTTTCAAACTGATGCCATAATAATTGAATTAAATATAATCTAGGCGAGCCACCATTTTCAACCAATGATAAAAGCAAGCTGGAAAAAAAAACAAAAAACAACAGCAAATCTCCCAGCAAATGCCATAGGGAAAGACAAATGATTTGAGTTGTGAGGTATTATTTAGACTTAAAAACAAATCTCTTGAGTGGGAATGCAACAATGCTTTGAAAACACAATTCTGACATTTAAAACCTTTAAAACATGTATTCTGTCTAGTTTCCTCAAGTTCTTACGTGTCCTGAAGGTCAGGAATCTGCTTTTAACTTCTTCACATGATGTGCTGTGCAGAGTGCTACATGTGGGTGTTTGGTAGAAAACAAAGTCAACAGTCCTTACAGAGGCAACATTTTACTTTGTGACCAAGCTCTAAACAAACGTCTCACAAAACAACATTACATGGGGGGGAGAGGTATAGCTCAAGTGGTAAAGTGCATGCTTAGCACGCACAAGGTCCTGGGTTCAATCCCTAGTACCTCCTCTAAAAGTAAATAAACCTAATTACCTCCTCCTCCAAAAATTTTTAAAAAACAACATTTCATTGAAAAAATAACCAAGGGGTTTCGGTTTTAGGATAGATGATGAAATTAACCCTGAGGTCTATAATTTTATTATACTTCAAAAATCTGAAATCTCATTCAAGACATAAGATCCCATTATCTCCTCAAAATTCACAATGATGCCACAAAAAAATACTGGAGTAGGAAGCTTCAGGAATAAGACAAGGATGCCTGCTTTTGCCACTTGTGTTCAATACAGTATTGGGAGCTCTTATCAGATATTGGGCAAGAAAAAGAAAAGGCATACAAATTGAAAAGGAAGAAGTGAAGTATTTCTACTTGCAGATGACATGATTTCATGTGTAGAAAACTCTAACGAATTCACAAGAAAATGTTAGAGCTAATAAATGCATAGAGAAAAGTTACAGGATACAAAAACCAACATACAAAAATCAGCTATATTCCTATATACTAGCAATGAACTACCTAGAAATGAAATTAAGACAACACTTCCATGTGTAATTGCATCCAAAATAAAACATTTATTCTTAACTTACATAAACAGTAAGACATCCCATGTTCACACACTGACAATATTCTTAAGATAACAACACTGCACAAAGCTGTGTACAGATTCAATGTCATTACTAGGAAAATCCCAACACCTTTTTTTTGATATAGAAAAACCCATCATAAAATTCATATGGAATCTCAAAGGACCCCCAAACAGCCAAAACAATCTTAGAAAAAAATACAAGTTTGGAGAACTCACACTTTGCAATTTCAGAAATCACTACAGAGCTACAATATTCAAGAGTGTGGCAGACACTGGAACAGAACTGAGAGCCTGGAGACAAACTCTCACGTAAGTGGTCAGGTGACAGGCCACAAGGGTGCCAAGACCATGCCACGGGGAAGGAGCCGTCGCTTCGACAAACGGTGCTGGGGAAACCGGATTTCCACATGCAATAAAATGGACTAAAGACGTTAAGACCCAGAACTCTAAACCTCCTAGAAAAAAATACAGGGAGAAACCTTCCTGACCTTGGATCTGGTGGTAAATTCTTGGATACCACGCCAAAGCCCGAGCAACAAAAGAAAAAAATAAACTAAACTTCATCTAAATTAAAAACTTACGTACATCACAGAACACTGTCGTGAGAGTGAAAAGACAAACCACAGAGTAAGAGAAAATATCTGCAAATCACGCATTTGACAAAGTTTTAGTATCCAAAATATATAAAGAACTCTTACAGCTCAACAATAAAAGGACAAACAACCCTCTGTCCAAAAAATGTGCAAAAGGCCTTCGACAACATTTCTCCAAAAATGACTCACAGGTGGCCAACAAGCACATGAAAAGATGCTCAGCTCCCTGGACTCAAACCTAACCCCCCATCGCTCACTTGTACTCCAACAGTTCGCCGCTCATGAAGATCAGCAGTGACCTCCTGATCCTGAAAACAAAGGACACTTCTGGACACACGCTGGCCGATCTGTCAATTACTACTTTCTTCTGGAACTTCCATCCCAGGACGCCAGCTTCCCTGGATGCCCCATTCTAACAGTCTTCTGCAGGCCTGTACAATTTCCCACAGGGGTTACCAGCATAGGTAACTTAAACAGTCCACATCCAGAGACCACTGAAGCTGGCCCACCAGGCCACAAGCTAGCGGCTGTCCCTGCCTCCTCCCCTCACAACCGGCCGACGCCCACCCGACAGGAGAGAAGCTGGAGGCCCGCCTTCTCGGGTCTTACCCCAGAGCACCACCCCTGAGTGCAGATGCCTCGGAGCAGCTTCTGCCAGCTAACAACTCCCAAATTTTTGCCTCCAACAAGACTCAAGAGCTTAAGCTGGTATTCTTATCTTTGGTAAGTATGTGATTTGGAGCAGAATCCTCGTAAGAAATTATTTCTGTGACCAAAGTGTCCTGGTACTTTCATCAGAATATAAAGTAAGACTAGAGTACATATTGCTTTCACTCTAACAATAAACACTGTTTTTACAACAGCCCAGCTATCTCATTAATGCATGGATGCATCTCCATGCAATTTTACTTCTGTTTAATAGATTTATTTTATTAAATGATTATTGTTTTGTTCAGTTTTATAGTAACAATTACCATGACATTTCAATCTAAAAGTTGTTTTTAATAGAGCACCTTAAATATATAGATACTTTTATGTATTTTTGTTGTCAGGTAGAAGTATGATGGGTTGGTCAATAAAAGATTTTGAACAATAAAAACATATCAGGATACACTGAATAGATGAATAAGAATGAATATGTGACTATTTCACACCAAATATGTGAAAATGAAAACACAAGTTCCAAAAAAAAAGGCATAAAAGAAAATCCTACGAAAGACAAGTGTGTCCGTGCAGCACAGCGAGTGAAGAATGCTACCAGATCGCTAGGGTATTCAGAGTCTCTCAGGCTTAAAAGTGTTTTGCAGTTTTGTTTTTAAATGTCAGTAACTTCAGTCTGACAAATTAGATTCATCATTTCAACTTAATATGAAAAATTTAAGATGACAACTTAAAAGTGCACAAGGCAGAACACAGCTTTTCAAAATTAGCTTGAGGAGAATGCCAGAAGCAAGTCCAAAGACCACTGTCTTCATCACTTTGCTTTCTCTCTCCTTCAGAGGCTTTTGTGTCTCAGAGTACCTTCAGACGCTGCGGACCCTCCAGGTTCATCTTTAACCCACTGCTCTTCTCCATTTCCCACTCCCAGGGTCTTGCTCACCAGTCTGTATTTTACACCCAGACCCTCCCCAAGCATGCTAGGCACACCTCCACTGGTATGTTTCTCAGACACCCCTAACTGCCGTCACACCGAACGCAGCTCCTGCCCTTGCTGCTCTGTCCTCGAGCTCCACCACGGCCGACAGAACCAACGGCCATCCAACAAGCCAGAAACTAGGCCTCCTCCGTCCTGGTACCTCACCGCTGTCAACTGCCAGGGCCTGGCAGCCTCGCCTCCTAACTCACCCAAGTCAGTCTCCTCTTCATCCTCATTACATCAGCACACCCGAGTCCCACCTTCTCTCTCTTCCCTACAGGTCTCTCACGAGTTCTCTCTGCTCCCAGTCTCTACACCTCAAAGTCATCCTCTGCAGAGCAGCCAGAGGTAACGTATCAAACACAAGCATCCAGCATTAGATAGAGCCCAAGTCCCTGGACACAGCACCGAGAACCAGGGCTGCTGCTGGTCTGCGCAGGGTTTGTGTGAAACATCCAGGCCTGACACACCATCCAGGCCGGACCTCAGCCCTCAGGGGTCCCCTCAGCGGGGCTCCCTTGTTCAGGACACAACCTACAAAAGCTAACTTCCAAGGGCCACGTGCTACCTCCAGCCACTCTGCCTGGGAGATTCACCAAAGCCAGAGGGTGAAGTGTTCCCAGCGCTGGAGCACAACCTCGGGGAGCCAGGGCACAGGACAACCAGGAAAGACTTGGGGTATGGAAGCTCTCTTTCCACCATGAAATCAGACTACATCCCATTTCAGCTTGGCAATTCTTTTTAGAAGAACAAAATGACTCATGCATAAATAAGTAAATATATCATTTAATATTTGAAATTTCAAAAGTATTTAAATGAACTATGAAAATCTTGGTAAAAACAATACAGTTTTATCTGGGAGCCCTGGTGGAGCTAAGCATGAAACCTGCCTTTTAAACTGACAAAGTGTTTGCCTTTTCAGAACTAAGACTGTGCAGCCACTTTGTGAACAGCCGGGTAGTTTCTCAAACGGTGAACAAACAGAACTACCACGTAATGCAGCAGTTCTGCTCCCGGGTGTATTTCTAAGGAAAAGGAATACATACAGCCACACAGAAACGTATGCTTCAATGCTCACAGCAGCATTATTCCTAACAGTCAAAAAGTGAAACAACTCACATATCTATCAACTGATGAATGGACAAGTAAAATGTGGTAGTTCAAACACCACCACCACCACCATTAGATTTTTATCTAAAAAAAAAAACTCTGTAAACTTTGAAACTTAAAATTTCCTTCATTTTCCTGGCCTTCATAATCTCTTAATACCATCTTTAAATATCTTTAAAACAAATTTAAATTATCAAACAGAGTTTTTACTGTAATATACCTATACTTTATCATTTTAACTTTAAAGAAAAGATAACCCTCATTTAAGGGAAATATGTCATAAAGTTCAAAGCTATTCAAAACAGTGGTCCACAGAGATTATCTAGAGTTACATCAATTGATTTTATTTATTCCCAACTAAGGAAGGCTGCTCTCTGAAACAAAATTAATTTCACTTAAATTTTTAAATGTATAAATATGATTTGGCGTCTTTTACTGCTCAAGAGAAACTCAATTACCTGAATTTCAGTGAATCGCCTATAATATCTGAAACTGTCTCAGCTGTTCTGCATCATTTTATCTAAATATCCAAATACTCTAAATGTTAACTGGCCTAATTTTTCCAATGAAATCTAGGAAACATGATGGATGATCTTCACACAGAAATGATGCTTACTTTTTACGAGTCCTGTGTTTATAAAATGATACACATTTGCTAACAAAAGCATTCTAGGAATATATGACAGACCCAAACAGCAGGTCACCTCAAACCCCTCCACACAGAAACAACGCTATGATCAGGTGAGTAACATTGCCGACACCACTTCACTCTTATATATGGGCAGATGGACAGATAAGGCAAAAATAACACAACAGAAGAATACCGTACAGTCTTTTTTAAAATATAGGATATTTGGGGTTTTTTTTATACAATATGAGAAAAAAATTAAAATAAATAAACCTTAAAATGGAAGGAACTGCTATATTCCAGATAAATGTTCCTTTAGCACAAGAAATCATTTCCCAAGAAATTCTTGCAAAAGGATGAGGAAAATAACTACGAGAAGCACTAAGAATGTGCAGATTTCTTTTTAATTTTTTATTGTCTATTGGTTTACAATGTTAATTTCTGGTGTACAGCACAATGTTTCAGTTATACTATATAT